TATTTATATTAACTAATAGTTTACAGAGCATCTCTATGATACCGAGCTCCCCAAGCTGTTATGTGTCATACAGTCATACAAGTTCAGTCATCACTCTATACTTTTTATAGATTTCTGAATTAAGTTGCTTATATAAATATATGTTACTTTACTTTTATGGATTTCTGAATTCAGTTATAATTTTTATAGGTTTCTGAAATCAGCACTCTAAATATACAACAATTTGTTTACGTTTTTCTTTGATTATCAAAATAATTACAGTACTTTCTATATTTCTTGCAAAATAATTATTAAGTATAAATAATGCATTTTTCTGTGTCTTTAATTTTCCAAACATTAAAATGTCTAATACATCCACATCTCAAAATATCGATTTTCCTTGCAAATCCATAGAATATAAGACCTCTTATCAACGTCTACTCCGTCTGCACAAAATCAAAGATATTACCGTTATCATAAAAATGACATCTTGGCTCATTATCGTTTTCTTCGTGCTTGTATCGAGCAACTTGAAATGTTTATTAAAGAAAATGGATTGGTTCTTCCCAATCCTCCTGCATATTCTTGACCAAGTTCCAATATTTCTCAAACACTCTTCCTTTCTTCTGGCATGATGATTTGTTGTGATCACAGAAAACAGCTTAATAATAGAATACCGCAGAATATACAAATACCACAAAATTCAAAGAAATCACATAATCGCCAGAATTAAGCAAATAAGGTAGAACACAGCAGCTTCTCTATGAATGCCAAAATCTTTCGTTTGGGTAATTTTAATTCACAATATCACATAACATGCATTCGGTTTTAGGTTAAGGCCAGTCTGTTTAATTATGATATGTTTATCTTTCATCTAATTCTTTAAAAACATTTATGTATATTTTTAATGAAAATAAAATTCTTTTGTTTTTTTATTAAATAAAGTATATTTGCGTATTTTATGTTTAAAACGCATTAAATCACAAAATAAACACTAAACTGTAAAGTTACGCAACAACTAACTTTATAACAGAATATCTTTCTTTTGAGAAAGGCTCTTTCCGTATGTACGTACATATATACTGAATTCAGTACAATAACTCAGTTGTATTTTTGATACGTAGAAAGGATGCTTGTACGTGTTGAATTTATATAATATCACCTACTAGGATATTTGTGTAAAAAAACGTCATACTGTAATTGGTCTAATGCTTGTGCTAAATTCAGTATAATAATTCACAACACGACTGTTGAGATGAAAATTATAGTCTAATAGATATTCATTTTTTGTTCTTTCCCTTTTTACCTTTATTTGTATTTCTTAATTAAAGCGATATTGTTATTATTTAATTCCATCGTTAATTATTATCTTCTTTGCTATGACTTTAATTAAGCTCTATCATCACTAAACTAAAAATAACTTCTAAAAATACTGATTCTGCAGTCTGTGTCAAGAAGCGCCGTCATCTTAAAAGTATGAAGAATAAAGAAGATTACAAAAAATATAAGGATAAATGTCACGAAAAGTGATTAAAAAAGCTTCAGAGGATCGATATATGTGAAAACGTGTTAAGCAACTTGAAACTTATTGCAAAGAAAAGAGATTATCACCACCTCCACTTTCAGATTCTAAGCATTTGCACAGTTCTTCTGATTTTCATATATATACACC